GGTTTAGGGTTTAGAATTCAGGGTCAAGGGATTAAGATTTACGGGTTTAAGGCTTTAGGGTTCAGGGCTTCATACCTCAGGATTCAGGGTCAAGGGCTGCAGGTTTACGGGTTTAAGGCTTTAGGGGTCAGGGGTTTAGGCTTCAGAGTTTAGATGAAGGACTTTTTTAGGGCTCAAACAGACTCAAACACATTGAAGAAGTTCTTCCCAACAAAGGCCAGAAACTGATAAGCAGCGGCGAAGACACTTTAAACAGGATCCCGTCACTAAAGTGAGAGTGCTACATTACACTCCCCCAGACTAGAAGGAAGCCCAACAAGGGCGTTACGAAGACAAACCATGGCTTCCATGTTTCTTTGCGGGCGTGTAGGGCCTGCGGTTTACGGTTTAGGGCTTAGGGCCCTAAAGCCTAAAGCCTAAACCATAGGGTAGGTTTGGAATTCTTTAAAGTTTTTGGGATTGGACCCTGAGCCCCAAACCCTAATGGGGATCAGAGTTCAGGCTGCAGAGCTTTGGTTGCAGGATGTAGCGTTTTGGGTTTAAGATTTGCTCTGTATGGCCCTGAAGCAGTAAGTAATTTTCTGTTTAGAGTTTCTGGTTTGGGGTTTAAGGCTTGGGGTTTAGGGCCAGCACACTTCTCCATTGCCTTGGCAAGCTTAGCCAGGCACAATCCAAAAACAAAACTCAAGCTCCGCAAGCCCCATCTTTTGATGCACAGATTCCGGCACTTGGACCCTGAGTCCTACACCCTAAGGCCTAAACTACTGAAGTCTCAACCCCTAGACCACGTTCCTACTAAACATTCAGCCGCTACACTCGTAACTCCTTAGTCCCTTAGTCCCTAAAATTCAGAAAATCCATCAATAAATTCGAAATCCCTGAGCCCTCAACCTGTATATCACCCATGTAACCCCTCTACATCTCTTATGTGTCGCCTATGGGCCTATGTGTTCCCTCACCCTAAACCCTACTTAATCCCCAAACCCTAAACCTAAACCCTACAACCTGAACCCTAATCCCTCAACTCTGACCCCTAAACCCTAATAAATCCTAAGCCCTAAACCCTAAGCCCAACATACAATAAAGGCAGACTAGTCGCAGGCTGCGCTAATCGCGGGCCGCCGCGCCAGCCCTGGTGGATAACCCTGGAGTCCCAGAGCCTAAGGGATGAGCCACACAGAAAAGGGCGTAAAGAGGCTGCAGGGGATATATGGGGGGTATGTAAGGATATATATATGTATATATAACTATATAGGAAAAGGAAATGGAAACATGGAAACTACTATTTAGGGTTTGGTGTATACGCTTTAAGGAGTACGTACGGCTTAGGGATTAGGGTTTAAAGGGTCTGGGGTACAGGGCTCCAAGCAGACTCTAGGGCTCCAGTTACCTAAGTAATGAGTTCTGGGATCCATATATCCTAGAGTTACATAGCCCAGCAGGCTACTATTTAGGTAACTGGGAGCCCTAGGGAGAGTTTTGGTTTTTAGGTTTTGGGGTCCAGAGCTTCGCGGAACATATGTACACGTATAACTTGGTTACTGCCTCCGCGCAGGAATAGTCTGTAACGAAGGTAATGTTAAGGGCTATATCTAGGCATGGATTGTCCAATTTTTGCTGAATGTGGGCAGAATCTCATGTATAACCTTGCATTATTTACCCAAGCCTCACCATTATACACCTACAGTACTTACCAGCCCCCCTGACCCCCCAAGTAGGGATCTCTGTCGGGGATATCTGAATAGCGTTTTCTTTGTAGTCGGGCCAAGTGAAAACAAGTACTTCTTATAGTGCACTTTATCCAGCAGGCGGATACAATACAATGTCGCGTTATTGCAGACTATGAAAGAGACTACTCCCTGAACCCCAAAGTACGTAAAATAGTAGCCCAAAACACCTAGATATAGCCCAAAAGGCCATTATTCTACATACGTTTGGGGTTCAGGTCCCTAAACCCTAAGCCCTTGAACCCTAAACCCTAAACTATTCCTCTGGCTTCAAGGCTAGGACCCGTACATGGCCACTTTATGAGGAGGAGCCCGCCTTGGGGTTCTATGTTTGGTTGCGCAAATGTACTTCTCAACATATGAGCCATAGGGTTTGGGTTTAGGGTTTAGGGTTTTAGGGCTTAGGGCTATAGTCTATCCCCCGCAATGTCCCCTACAGTAGTCCCCTTTTTCATTCCCTACTTAGCCCCCTTTGCGGAGTTAGACTACAGCTCATTTGGGTAGCCCTGTCCGCCTGCAGGAGGTTGTCCCTAGAAGAAAGACCAAAAACGGTCGTGTTGAGGAATTCCCCCAGCCCAAAATGCGAATCCAAAAGCGCAAAAGATTAAGACCTGAACTTCGAGCCCGAAACCTCTAAATCCTAAAGGCATGTTTCTGAAATTCGGGGGCAGCTGAAAACCCAACAGCTCAACTTCTCATCCCCTACTGAAACCATAAGCTCTCAAAAAGTTAACCTACTTCAAACTTCACACCCTAAATCTAAACCCAAACCCTAAACCCAATATCCTTGACATCCCCAACTTTAAGCTCCCATCCTTATACACCCTAAAGCCTGTATAAATCCAAAGCTCTACTTGGAAGCTTAAACGATTTAGGGTTTAGGGTTTAGGGCTTTCGGTTTAGGGCTTTCGGTTTAGGGCTAACAAAGAGGCGCTGTGTTATGTAGCAGCCAAACCAACATTTAAGGGTTTAGGGCTTTATAATACTTATAAGCAGGAATGAGAATGCATGAGTTTACATAACGATCCGTATGAACCCCAATGTACAACCCTGTCTATGTTCTTGTCCACGCCATTCGACTATCGGTACACCCTAAACATTAAACTCTTTCACACCTTACTTACCTCTACACCCCCTTTAGAAGGACCATAATCGTCCTACGCCCTATATGTCCCTAAATAATCGACTTAACAGCGATCCTAAAACCCTCTGTGCACTTCCTGATACCCAAGCTTCAAACCCTAAACCCTAAAAACCCTAAACAACTTACACAACCAACACCCCACTAAACCTTAAACTTCCAAAAACCCTAAATACCCTAAACCCAACCAAGCCCTAAACAATGAGCCACACTTTCGCTTGCAAAGCAGCAGGAGGCTGCCAGCTGGGCATGGCATGCGACGGCACCCCTTCCACTTGTCGAATATGTGTATGGTTTAGGGTTTAGTCAGATATATAATTGGAGGTTTCCCCTTTCGGGGTCCCTATACTAAGGATGATACTATCTTGGGGTCTATATTGGGGTACCCTTATATTGGGACATTGCCGTTTGTGTTTAGGGCGTTAGAATTTAGGAGTAAGATTTAGGGAGTAGGGTTTAGGGTTTAGTCTTGTAAGGTTTAGGGTCTAGGATTTAAAGTCTAGGGCGGTAGGGTATAGGGTTCAGGGCTGAGGGTTTGGGGTACAGGCTTTAGGCTGGGGTGTCTGGGGTATAGGGTTCAGGGCTGAGGGTTTGGCGCACAGGGTTAGGGTTGAGGGCTTAGGGTACGGGGTGCGTTTAGGGTTGAGGGTTTGCAGTATAGGGTCCAGGGGACTAGATCGGGGGGCCGTATTTGCGGAGTAAGCCTGCTTTGAGGGTAACCAACCAAGCCTGTGCAAACCTTTTTGGGCCCCAAGCTCAAGCTGTGCACATAGAAACCATGTATATCGATCGACAGGTATATCTACATACATATTTGCTTATGAATGCACAAAGAGAATATGTACATACAGATGTGTTAGTTTCCCTCATTAGGAGGGTCCCAACATAGACCCGCAAAATGCTATGATCCTTACCATGGGTCCCTACAAAATGATACCCCCCCAATTTTGGAGAACTACCATTACCCTAAACACCTAAACCCTAACCCCTAAACCCTCGAGCCTAAATAGATAAGTGTGCAATTTGGGTACTACGGGGGCCTAAATAATTACCTATATCATTTTGAGGTCCATTTGCGGTACCATATACTATAATAATTACACAAGGAATGTGGAACCATAATATTGGTAAATAGTTAGGCCCCCATATTAAGTATAAATAAGTGTGCAAGTTGGGTAGCCAAACCCTAAACCCTAAACCGCGTCTCCTTCTGCGCGGCTGCCAGGAGCTCTGCTTGGAGCGCAGGGTTCTGTAGCTGGTTCCTCGGTGGTTAAAATATGTTATGGGTTCAGGGGTTTCGGGGTTTGGAGTTTAGGTCTAGAGGTTTAAAATTTAGGGTTTAGGGGTTTAGAGTTTAGGGTTTGCAGTTTAGATCTTAGCCCTTGGAATCTAGGGTTTAGAGTTTAGAGTTTAGGGTTTAGACTTTAGGGTGAGTTAAGAATTTAGGGTTCAGGTTTTACGGTTTAGGGCGTAAGGTTTAGGGGCTTAGGGTTCCCGCGCTAGACCCTCTATACTACTCCCCCTGTTTGTTGGTTTTCTGAGGAATATCAGGGCTAGTCAAGGTTCATAAAGGGGAACCTAGAGGGGGTAGTTTGTATAGAGAGAGGGTAGTAGGAGAATCCATAAAGATCCCGTATAGAGGATTATATAGGGGAGTATTATAGGGATTATTCAGGGGGATACTCGGAGTTTAAACCATAGCTCCTATAGGGATTCTAAGGGTCATGTAAGGATTATCTCGGGATGTGCAAGGTTCAGGGTGTAGGAAATCGATCCTCTCCGAACTTGCATGGAACCCCATATGGGCCACAATCAATATTTCCTACATACTTCACAATGGACATGGGCTCTTCATGAGAGACTCTACTGGGGACTGTACTAATCTACCAGAGGGACCCCTATGTCCACTGCTAAGGGTTCCTTCAACCCTCAACCCTAGGCCTTACGCCACAAACCTTAAACCCCAGACCGTATACCCATTGCTTATAGGCCTACGGTATTGTTGAAAGTAACTCATATGACACCTGTGTCGTAGCGGCGCTGGTCTTTGTAGGGCCACTTTTCAAATTCCATTGAGGTTAGGGTTTAGGGCTTGTCTGTTTCCACAAATTTAAACCTCTATAGGGAGGATGGGTGCAACCTCCATCTGCATTCCTAATCCCGACCTTGCAACACAGCCCACAAAAACATAAAAACTCCAAATCCCGAAAGACTACAAAGTAGCGCGCCCCCACTCTATCCTCAAAGATTTGGTAGTTTCCCCATATAGGGGGGACCCAACATAGACCCCCAAATACGATAGTCCTTATTATTCAGACCCCCCCAAAATGGTACCCCTAATTTTGGGAAAGCCCTAAACCCTAAATCCTAGATATCCTTACATAACCCCTAGAACCTTTAATATGGAGACCCCCAAAATGGTACCCCTAATTTTGGGAAACCCCATTTAGAGCCTAGCCAACTTCCGGGCTCTTTGCAAAGGGGTGAATTACTTTGTGAAACAGGGTTTAGGGTTTCGGGTAAGGGCGCAGGATTTCGGGTTTGGGGTTTAGGATTCAGGCTGATTCAGGGTTTAGGGGACCTGCATCTCAAAAAATAAAAGCATTCACCCAAACCCTAAAACAAGGAATACCAAGTCGAAACTGTCGACTCCAAAGCTAAACCCTAACTGGCTAAACCCCCTCAAGCCCCTAGACTCCTCAACCCTAGACCTGCTCACAAAACACCTCACAAAAACCATAAGCCCTAAATCCCAACTAATCCCTAGGCCTTGAAACCCAGGGCCGCAGAACCTGCGGCTAAGCAGCAATCGCACCGACTGCCCTGATTTTCGCTTGCCATTGGAATATGCAGAGGGATCCTGATCAGGGTTCCTGGCTACATTATTTGCTGTTAAGGAACTTAATCTAAGGTACCATAATCTGGGTATATAAGGTTTAGGGTATATAGGGTTTAGGGTATACGGGTTGGGGCTTAGGGTGAAGGGGTTTAGGAATATAAGGCTTTAGGCGATAGGGCCTAGGGTGTGGTACGCATCTCAAGAGGTTCTGTGGCTTTACAGCGCTTCACGGGGAGGATATAGGGCTTAGGGTTTAGGGTTTAGAGTTAGGGTTTAGGGTTTGGAGTTTAGGGTTTAGGGTTTGGAGTTTAGGGTTTAGGGCTGTGCAGGGTTCAGAGTTCTACCAGTACCTGGAAGATGACCTGCAAAAGAACCAGGAAATGACATGAGCTATAGAACTCCTAGTATCCCTCTTAATAGACCCTATAGTAGTCCCCTATAATATCCCCCATATAACCCCCTTTAAGGAGTTTAGACTATAGCTCACATGGACATTGGGTGGAGGAATGAAGTGCAGCCTGAATGGTTACGAGGGTTTAGGGTTTAGGGGTTTAGGGTTTAGGGGTTTAAGGTTTAGGGGTTAGGGGTTTAGGGTTTTGAAAGTTGTGGTCTACTTGGAGGGTCACGGGGCCTTAGTAAGTAGGTTAATAACCCCTATAAGCCATATAACAACCCCAGTTATCACCATTATCTACTCACTAAGTCCCCATGGCCCTAGACCCTAAACCCTACAGTAGTTTCCATTTTCTTTTCCATGCCCAAAGGCTTTATAACACCCCCCCATATATGACCATATATCCCCTATAACCCCCTTTTAAGTAACCCATCTCGGGTCTTGGGGATTTGGTGTTGGGGATTCAGGGATTGGCGCTTCTGGTGTGCGTGAGGGTTGTGGTGTACGACTTGATTTCCAGTGATCTGGGAATAAGAGCTACCTGAACCCCAAAAGTATGTAGAATAATGGCCCTTTGGGCTATATTTTGGTATTTTGGGCTATTATTCTACCTACTTTTGGGTTTAGCTAGGGATTCGCAGAGTTTAGGATCTGGGGTCTAGTGAGGGGGCTTCTGGATGTAAGGATCTCCTTTCAGACGCGAGCGAGATACCGGTCAATGGGGCAATGGTAGGTGTGGATCACACCAGGATTGCTTCATGACATTGTTGATGGATAAAGGCGTACATTGCGGCTGTGTATCCCAACGCTAGGAATCACCGAGTTCTCGGCCTATGGGCAGTGCAGCTGCATACGTGTTGCCATGAACACCATCCAACGAAAAGAAAAAACAAAGAAGCTCCAGCATCCCCACTCGGACAGTCGGTTCGGAATACCTTTCATACAGAAGATAGGTCCTTCTACATTATAACCATATAAGTCCCTGTTAGGGAGTCATATTCTCTGCTTTACGTGGACTACCAAAAGTAGGTAACATACTAGCCCAAAGCCCCTAAGAACAGCCCAAAAGGCCATCATTCTACGACCCAAAAACGCAAAAACCGAAGGGTTCAGGAAACACTGACTACGCTGTCCATGCAGACCCTAATGTAGACCCATGATTAATACCCCCCTCCTTTTAAGGGTCTCAATATTAGGATCCCGTTTCTAGCCCCTACTAAGGGGAGGCAATTTATTAATCACCCTAAACCCTAAACCGTTAAACCCTAAACCCTAAACCCCTAAACCCTAATCCCTAAAACCTTAAACCCAAAACCAACCTTGAGTTTGGGCCTGTAGGAATACTCGGGCCTTAGCCAGGAATGTCGGTAGTCATGTAGGGTTTAGGGTTTAAGGTTTAGGGTTCCGCACATTTCCAAGGTCCTCTGACCCTGAGGGCTAAGGGTTTAGGCTTCTAAGCCCTAAACCCCGTAGAACATCCGCAGAGAAAGCTCCTGCATCAGCTGGTCGTAGGGAGCCTTGTGACTGCCGGGCCAGACCACTGTCCTGAGCTTAGCGGTTGGGGGGCTGTTTCTCTATCAGGGACGACCCAACTTGAGATATACGAGCCCGAAACCCTAAATCCCTTTTGATCCCGTTACGGCCCTCTGGCTTTCTGAGTTTAGGGTCTTGTTTGCGAGGCTATAAATGGCTCAATACCCAACCCTTCCTGGGCGAGTCCCCGCACCCAACCCACAAAAACGAACATGTTTTCTCAAAATTGAGATACCCTTTTGGGGCTCCCAACAACAAGGACTATACCATTTTGGGGTCTAAACCGGGTACCTCTATGACGAGACATGGCCAAATACAAGTAGTGGTTCAGGGGCAAGTTGAGGGTTTATCTGGGCCTGGCTTGGGTGCTGTAGGGGGTTTGGGGTTAAGAGAAGTTGGGTTTAGGGCTTAGGGTATCTTACCCCATAAGTCATACACCTGCCATTCATACCGATCCTACACCTTTCAACTGCTAGGATCCCCGCTCAGCTACGTCAAAACTGCACAGGCCTTTTGAGAAGAACCTGGGTTCTGCATTTATGGTTTATGATTTGGGTCCGTCTAAGGTTGAAACCCTAGGCCCCTAGTGTGGGCCCTTAACCCTGGGATCCTTATTACCGACTATATACCCAATATGTACCCTCAAGGGCCCTAGAAGCCCCCTGAAAGGCTAAGTGCCCTCATAAACCCCTCAAACCTCGAACCTCTAATCTTATGCCCCTCTGAGGCTAGAGGCGGGGTTTAGGGTTTAGGGTTTAGGGTACCCTAAAGTCTACTGCAAAGTCTCAGCTCTTACTCCTCCCTGGACTTCAAAAGTAACTAACAAAATCGCTCAACACCGCTTATATCCCACCTGCTTCTGAGGTCCAGGTTCAGCCTTCACCCTAAACACTGAGCCCTAAACCCCCAAAAGGTAGATCGTAACCCCCCGTTCTGCAACCCTGCATCGTGGAGGAGGACTCACTCTCTGATGGCCAGATGTAGAGCACTCCCTGTGCCTGCAATGCTAATTAAGGTTTAGGGTTTAGGTTTTAGGGCTTAGGGCTTAGGCTTAGGGTTTAGGGTTGGAGGGTCCAGTAGAGACCTGGGACCCGAATCAGGCTTTTTGGGAACGTTTTTGGGCGCTAAGTATACACCCTAGACTTACATGACACCATTGGGAATGCCAAGGTGGTTTGGGGTGTAGAGGTCGAGGGCTGTAGGGAGTTTAGGTTTTGTGCCATTGTGGGCGCCTAGGGGTTTGGCCTTCTAGGCTTCAAGGGTTTAGGATATGGGGGTCTCGTGTCTAGCTGGGGCTTTAGGCGCTAAGGCTTATAAGGAATGTAAGGTGCAAGGTTTAGGGCTGAAGGGAAGCAATATCAGCCATAGTCTACGCTCCTGCAGTTTTACTATCACACCTTCATGAAAACACCGTTCTCCGTAAGGCGTCGTTTAGGGTTCAATAATTCTTCTCCTAAACCATAAACCCTAAGCCTAGACCCTAAACCCAAACCCCAAACCCTGAGCCTCGTACGTACTGCTGCAGTAATCTTACAGCAGAGGTCAACAGATATTTCCCTTCCATGCTGTCCCTTTCAACGTCCTAAGCCTACACCCTAAACCCTAAACCAAAAGAAGTTTGGAGGGACGATGCATATTAGGGATTCCATGATAAAGTAGCTTAATATGGTTGTCTGGTTCTCTAGGGATAAGCGTGTACATACATACACATAGACATTTGCTGAGCATGGTATATTAATATAATAGCCTGGCGTAGCTTAAAGACTATAACACAAAAATGAACGGGAATACACAAAAGAGTACGATGGCATGTCACTTCTACTCGGGCAGATTTTCCTTCTTTCGTTCCCCAAGAACCACTGGTGAGTTCAGGGCATATGAGAATATCAGCGTTTGACGATTCATTTTAGCTTTACATGCCTGGAAGAACTGATGCCGCTTGGGCTTCGGGTTGGTTTCGGGTTGGGTGCCTAGACCCTAAAACCTGGTTTAAGGTGTAGGGCTTAGGGTTTAGGTAAGCTCTCAGGAGGATCCACCTTGTGCTTTGCAGGGACAAGTAGCCACTGTATACAATCCCCACGAACAATCCATGTATCCCATTCCACGATTCCCTACCAAGCACCAGTTTGCCTACTGGTTACTTGTGCTTCGTATGAAATGAGACAGTGGAAAAGAGCAGGGAGATCAAGAGCCTTGCGGGACGATATTCGTACGGTTTAAGGTTTACCTAAACTCTCAAAAACATGGGAAATCATAGCCCTACACCCATAATGACAGCCTTAGAGGCCATTTTTTTACAGACTCTCAGGGTTCAGGTAGGGTCCGAATCCATCCCGTTATCTCTTCACAGCCACCAGCCGATGAAGCTTTTCAAAGCTGACGGCTATTGCCAAAAGATCGGTTTAGGGTTTAGGGTTAGGGTTTAGGGTGAATTCATGCCGTTACTTCACCATTAGCTCACATTGAGAAGCCTCTCGAATGCCAAAGAAGACCCTGCAAACACTGATACTATGAAACCCCTCCCCCCCCACTCCGAATATCAGATATGTCCCCCAACAGATAAGGTTGCTCATGCGGGAATATTTGAGATGAGTGATGGGGAGGCGCGTTCAATATGAGTATGAAGGGATTATACGGCATGATTTTTAGACCCACCCAGAAAGCCGTAAACCCAAAACCCTAAACGCCACCTAAACGCCCAAACCATGAAAACCGTACATCAGCCCAGGAGCACAGGTCCAGGTCATTCCTGTGCAGTGGTTCTGGTCCACATGCAGCCACTCCTCTTCCGGACGGCTCCATGAATGCAACATGCGGTTTCACAAGGCTCCCCATGTGACCTAAACCCTAAACCCTCAGCCCCGAACTCTAAACCATAAACCTGAACCCCTTATTCAGGAATGGGGTTTAGCGATTCGGTTCGGGGGTACCCTAAACCCACATGGGGTGGCATTGTGCTACTCTTTTGACCAACCACCAGCCGATGTTCAAGACGCCCTAAACCCTAATGCCCACAATTCACCCCCAGCTTTCTACCCTAAACCCTAACTGTAGTTTCTATTTGCTCTTCAAGTATCCCTATGTAACCCCAACATCTGCTTCAAGTAGTGGGAGGTAGTGAAGTACAATGGTAGAATGGCAGAGCCATCAGGATAGTTGTGACAATCTAAGCCTAGTCCCCCTTAAGTAGATAGAATATGGGGTATACGGGGATCTTATTTAAATCTAACCAAAGCCATATTCTATCTACTTTCGGGGGACTATACATCTGCAACCCTAATTCCCGGAGCCTAAGTTACCAAGCTTTAAACGCTAAACGGTTTTGTTGCGTCAGGTTTTACAACTGAAAGCCTCCCAAATGTGTGGACTCCGTCCAGGCCGCATGCGGCGATTCTGGGTGTTTCGGGCTTCGAGGTTCCCCCTTACCTGTAGCCCTGATTGCCTGAAGGTTCATAGCACTTACCCCATGACGAAGAAGTAGAAATGACGAAGCTACAGGTAGTAGGGGTTACAGGTATGGCTTCAACCGTGTGTTTCAGAAAATTCCCTGATGGATTGTCAACGCTTTCAAGCTGTAGAGCTCAAGGCTGGCGACCCTTTCTTTGGGAATGGGTTTAGGGTATAAGGTTTAGGGTGACCGCAAACAATAAACTTGCCGGGGTTTAGGGTTTCGGGCTGAGGCCAATAATGGAGGATCAAATGAAAAATCACATGGCTAAAGACCATGGAAACCATACAGGGATCACATACTTTTCGTCTGGTTCGCAGGGAATGAAGGAATGGAAAGAGACCTACACCCTAAACCCTCCACTTTTGTTTGGGGATTACGCGGGACTACCTGGCCAGAGGGTTAGGGTTTAGGGTCTAGGCTTTAGGGTTTATCGGATTTAGGGAAATTTCATTCCTGGATGCATTCGTCTTGCGATCTATGGAAATCAGCAAAAAAGGCAACATCTCACAAACATTTAGGGCTTCTTTGCGCACAAGGTGAACTTGTTGAAGCGACAACACCTGGTGCCCAACTCAACGAGTTCCTGGTGCTGGACTAATATAGAACCGCGCTCTCGAAATTCTATGGTGCATTGACGGGAGTGCCAAACCCTCCTGCTGAAATCCTGAATTCTCAACTCCTTCATCCCAAGTCCCCGCATGGTCTACCATATTATAGGGTTATATTGGCTATATTTAGGGGTTATATAGTAATAATGGAAAAGAAAATGGAAGCTACCATAGTATTTAGGGTTTAGGGGAATGAGGACAAATCTATCCTGGAGCCCCAAAAATCACACGCCAAAACCCTTGGGCGTCTAGAGCTCCTCCAAAGAAATAATATGAAACTTGAGAAGGACATGTAGGCTATCGTCATTTTCAGAACGGGCTATATGAGCTATAAGCCTAAACGCCTAGTATCCTCCTCAGTTACCCCTAGAATAGTCCCCTATGTAACCCCTTTAAGGNNGAGTCTAGACTATAGTACATATGGGCTCCCCAACAAGACCCAAATTCAAAGAGTCCTTGTTGAAGTCAGACCCCGGCTGCTCTGCACTAGCCCAGAAGACGTTGTCAAGACCCACGGCCAAGTCGCCCTCTGTCGCTTCGAACCTCAGCTGCAGCCTTACTAGGCTTCAGGATTCTAAAAAAATGTACAGGGATTCTGCAAGAGTTTTGTAGGGATGTGCACGGGACAAAGAAGCCACGGAGACTACTGTGTCGGTTCAGCTGTCAGTTCTCCTTGTTATTGCAGTCATGCAAGCGTGCCAGTTGTTGTGGTGGTAATACGTAAAGTAATAGCATTAGCACTAGCCGTAGCCGTAGAAGTCGAGGAGAGAGCAGGAGCAGTAGCAGGAGCACTAGGAGCAGCAGTAGCCATGGTGGCCAAAGAACGAAATAAGAACAGTCCAAGCGCTGCTACTACTAACCCTGCTGACCCTCCACTTATGGTGCGAATGTTCATTGAACCCTCAACCCAATAGATATAACCCCTATAAACCCATATACTATAATCCCAATATACTATGGT